CAAGAAACTAAATTAACAGTTTGTCACTACTATTTGCTGTGAGTGGCATTGGCCAGTTCTCCCATCCTGGATCTTACATTCAGAAGCTCACTGGATGACCAGGGATGTGGCAAGGGCTTATGAGAGGCGGGGGTCAGGGTGGCAGATTTGAGCCAACTGCATCAACATAGCCTGCAGAAACACAGCATGCTTCCCCAGGCATTTTTAGTCCAAAATGATGCAGAAATGTGGGACTCACCTATAACAGCTAGTGTGAGGAGTATTAATCCAACTGGTAATGTCATCCTCATACTGTGTGATGTCCTCCTCACCGTGTTCTTCTGATCACTGATGATTTGAGGGGTGTGTGTCTGTGTATGAGTGTGCCTGTCTGAGGGTGCATACATCTGTGGATGATTTAGAAGGTCTGATGATGACATTGAGTGTCCTCTGTTGCTTTCTCCCTTATTCCCTTCAGCTAGGGTCTCTCACTGAACCTTCAAATTCCTGTTCTGGCTAAGCTGGACAGCCACAGATCTTTGGATCTCCTGTCTCCTCACATTAGAGCATCCTGTGTTTTTCTGTCTCATCTCATTGCTAAATGGTTCCTTTGGTCAGAAAGAGAACGGATTAGTTGGTTTCTCTTAATTTTTAAACATTTTTATTACTTTGGAATTCACACGTTTTTGTAATAAATATCAAAAATCAAACAATGGAGCAACCTTAAAAATAAAAAGTAGACTTCTTTTCTTTCACAGCATAAAGGTAACTTCCCAGGGAAGGTCTGTTTTGTCTACTGGCTTTACAACATGGAACCTGACATTTTGAAGCTCACTCTTAGGGCAGAGTCCAACTCATAGTTTATAGAGTGCTGCAATTTAGAAAAGTGCTGTGGATGACCTAAGTAGCCTTCCACTGACTGGCCTGGGGCTGTTTTCATATAATGTGCACTGTAATCTGGTCAAAAGTTGTTGGGTAATGACAATCGGTGACTTCTAGTCTCTGGTGCTGTCAATGTCTTCTGTGGAGGAGTCTGGGTAAGTTTAGTGAGGAGACTATGATGGTTCAACTTAAATCTATCTGGAGGCTTCATGTCCCACCCTTTTCTCCAGGACTTGGTTTTGTGTGGTCCAATTCAGTTGTGCAGAGGTTGTTACTTCTCTGTATGATCAGTGAGTCTGGTGATAAGAACTTCCCTGGGAAGGGAAATTAGTTCAGGCCAGGACAGAAGAGCATGGCTGGGTCTAAGAGGCTTGTAGACTGCAGGGAGGATCCACTACCTTCCCTGGATTAGAAACGGTACTGCAACATTCTAGTCTTCTTCCTTGCCTTTCTGGATTCAAGAAAGGTGTGTGTTTGTGTTGTTTTTATGTGTGTGTTTGGGGAATGAGAATGTGTGTTTGAGCCTCTAAGTGTATGTTCACTCTCTCACGGAACAATGGAACATCTTTAAGAATGATGGAGATGGATTTCAATGAGAAAGTACTGTGCCTAATCTGGTTAGTACCACTTTGCCTAAGTCAAAGGACAGATGGAGCTGCCCATCACTCTGCATGTCCACACAGCTAACTACACATGCAAGGCCACACAATTGATGCAAATTAAAAGTTTTTCAGGTATTTGTAGAGGCAAAATTATTTCTCTGCAAAGAAATCCTCTGGAGAAAAACAAAGTAATGGGGTCCATGACAGTGAGAACGAGGCTACTGAGAGGGAGGAAAGGCTACCTGAGGTTTTGTGTCCTTCTCTGTTCTGGGTGAAAGGAGGCTGACCACTAATGACTTCCCTGAATCCTGTTTTGTTTTTCTCCCCATCGCCTGCTGCCATTTTCCTTTCACCTTTGCATAACCTTGGTTCAGCTAGCCTGTTCCTAGGAGCTTGGCCTGGACTTTTTTCTCAGAAAAATTCTGAACTGCAGAGGGGCTTGTGGCTGCACCCCAGCCGAGCAGAAGTCCCACAGATATGCTGAGGTGTGAGATGAGGCTGTCTCAGGGCACTGCTTAGGCTCACCATACTCTCAAGTACCCACTCCATGTTGTTTCTGCAGCACTCAGAATCTGCTTTTATTCCAAACTTCTTCATCCTGAGTTAAAATCAGCCTGATGGAGAGTTGGGAGAAATGAGATCTCTCAGACATTGCTAGTAGTGTAAAATGGTGCAGCCCTGTGAGAAGCTATGTACAATTATTCAGAAAGTGGAACTGCAGTCTTCGGGTGGAGCATTGATTCCAGAATGAAAAGTGGTGTCCACAGAGATTAGGGGACAACAGGGATTCAGCAGGACTCATCAGAACAGCCCAACTAGCAACTATTGAGATACCCACCATTGATGAGTACAAACATACAATGTGGTCCATGGGATATTGTTAAGTTTGGAATAATATATGCAATTATTTGGCTGTGAGTTAGTCAACATTCTGTTCCTCAAAGAAATCTGTGACACAATCTTCTTATTTGAAGGAAAGGTTAATATAGACTACTGATTGTAGTGATTTTCTAGTTTTCTGAGCTCATTCCTTTGGGCCTAAATTGAGGCAACCTCTGGTATAGACAGCTTCTTCAGGAGGAAGCTGCCCTCCTTGGAGGCACCGGGAAGCACTGAGTGAGAGCAAGGGGCTGGTCCACTGCAATCCATTGGTCCTGTGCTGGGGAACTAAGCCTTCAATGCACAGACTGTGGAACTTGCTAGGAGAGCTTAGATTACAGATCAAGGAACCCTGGTGTTCACCTGTGTGTGTACAGGATTTCAAGGCAAGCACCACATTGACTTATCTGCCCACTGAGTTCTTCTTCCAGATCAACAGGCATGCATGTGTTATACAGACACACAGGCAGGCTGAACACCTGCACATATAAACTAAAATAAACTGAAAAATGATCAAAACCGAGTAAAAGTACACAATCTTCTCTACATCCTTGAGCTCAAAGCATCCTGTGTTTCCTGACTCTAGGCTGGAATATGGGTAGAGCGGATGTAGGTTAATGAAAGGTAACATTCTTCTTCCTGGTATCTCAGGTGATCTCTTCTTACTCTTATTAGTGTCATCTGGGAAACTAAGCATGGATGGTATTTAGTGTGCTTGTATGTGTGCATCCATATACATGTGTGTGCTGGAGATAGATAGATAGATAGATAGATAGATAGATAGATAGATAGATAGATAGATAGATAGATAGTTGATAGAATGTGTGTGTGTATGTGTGCATGTTTATGTACATGTTGAGGATGCCCTCCCCTAAAAAAAATCTTGTAATGAACAGGAACATCAAAGACTTGAGGAAAATCTTCAGTCCCTGATGAAGCAGAAGGAGCTGTTCACCAGGCAAAGGGACTTGGCAGTAAAGCTGCAGCATCACTTCACTGTGTCCCAGATGAGGTAGGAGCCCTGGCTTCCAGAAGTAGGTGGATCCTAGTGGGTCCGCTGTACCTGGATCTCCGTACTCTTTGAGTTTTGTCAATTGGCAAAGCTGCCAGCCACAGCCAGGGAAAGAACTCCTCAGAGTGTCGTTGCTGGCTCAGTCAACAGGAATTATGACCAGGAAGCAATATGCTCTCTCTGTGGTCTCATGGGGACTCTGACCCCTTCTTCCCTTCTGAGACCTCTAGTATGCTCTGAGTATCTCATCTCTTAGATTAGATCTCCCCACGAATATTCACATGGCAGCAGGAAACCTGGAAAGGAGGATCATTGATCATGAAGGAAAGTGTGTCCTCCTGCATCTATTCCATCAGGAACATCACGTTTAGAGAGAAGTGTCCACCCTTTGCAGATTTGCATACAGTACACTCCTGCTGACTGCAGGCTCTCTGCAGTGTTTTTCAGTTTCCCAGGAGAAGATTTACTCTTGGTCATAAACAGAGTAGGAGCTGACAAGTTAACCCAATGCAGGGTTCTGAGCTTTAGGAATAACCAGAGACTTCTCTGCATTGCGGTGTAGGCTCCACTAGAGGGCGGGCATAGAATTTTCCAGGAAGTTCACATTCACCTGTATCTACTGAAGGCCAGCTACATCTTTCCTGAACTGTGCCTGTCAGACCTTGACATACTGATATTTCTCCAAAATGATGTCTTTGGACTATTGGAGAAATAGGCTGTTTTTTTCAAATCCAGCAAAGTGTGTATTTTCCAGTTCAATTTCTAGCAGTTTTTAAAAGGTGAGAAAAAAATCCTGTCCAGTAGCTCTCTGTCCCTTTTCCCTTGGGGAAGCAGGGAATGAACTCAGCTGAAAGGTAATGCTTGATTGTCTAGCTGAGTAGAGCTGGCGGGGGCTCAAAAGGTGACATGGCAGGTCCCCCCAGGCTTGTGCCCCAGCTGCCTTCCTCCCCTAGGATTGAAAACCTCCAGCAGGAACTGGAGCAGAACACAGCCCAGGAAGAGAGCCTCCTACAGATGGAGCTGCTGGGGCAGAAACACTATGTTCCAGGCAAGTAAGCCACCATTGAGTCCCATCCCCAGCAGCCAGGTTATTCATGGGGTGTGTTTCCTTCCTTAACTTTTGTTCACTAGGGATGAATAAGCCCTGATTGTTCTTGACAGTGGCAAGCAAAACTGTTTCTGAATCCTATTTTCTTTACCGATTTTTCATGACAGCACCTCTTCAGAAAACTGAGAAGGCTGGAAGAAGCCAGAGACACCTTAAAGGCATAACATTCTACACTCCAGGTTCACGGCCTTCTCAGAAAATGCCACCTCTTTTCAGCTGTGAACTCACTAGTGAGGCACATATCAACCTACCATCAGGCAGTCCAGCCACAGTCTGATCCACATCCATTGGCTCAGTATTCCCAGAGAGAAAAGATTGTATCAGAAATAGTCTGAGATTCAGAGGATACAACACAAATTACTAAGAACCCTGACATCCATCAGTACGTGGCCCCAGTGAGGGGCAAAACAACATGGAAGAAGACATGTGGGTGAGCAAGAGTTCTTCTGTCAGCATCCTACCAAGGGTTTTGACAAGCTGATTCTATATGTGATGGAAATCTGAAAAGGAAGACTGTGGTAACATCACACTGCCATCCAGACAGACCACACCCAAAGCATAAGATTCTCTCGTGCAGTGCTGAAGCTGATGCCATGTCATATGCTAGTGTTGCTGAAGATAATTCACTTCAGAGAGTAAGCTAGGTCCTCACCTCATTTGCTCTTCCATAATGAAATTCCAAAGGATCCTGAAATTTGCTTAATTTTTTTTGTTTATATGTTGGGATATTTATGCTTTAGATTTTGGTTTTCTTCATTTTAGTTTAAGGTTTTGTTAATTTTTGTTATTGTGTTTTAATAGTTTCCTAAGGCTATACATTGTATATAATGACTACTGTTTTGAAAGACCCCATTGAGTAAAATGAATGTATTTTTATGAATAAAATCCAATTTCAGCTTCACTCTGAGAGTCTTCTTTAGTCAGGTGAGGTTTCACACTGCTGTAAACCCTGAACTGACAGGCTTGGATGTATCTCAGCCAGTTCCAGGAATCTCGGGCTGCACAAAGATTTCTCAGTCATAGGTCTCAGGGCTATACAGGGGGATGGCACCTTGTATGCAGATGGAATAGCCTACTCCATGGATACCCACTACATAATAGAAAAACTAGACATAATGTATCTTTGACATCATATATTTAGCGGCCAGTAAAGTGTGGTGCACTATACACACATGTTCACGAAATCATCATGTACACCAAATTAAAGGGAAAAACAAGTATTTGCTCCAGGCCTCTCTGAAATAAGAATATTCATTAAAATTGTATAAAACAAATCAGAAAATGAAAAGCAATCTGCCTCTAGTTTTCCTGACATATAACATGAATGATAACTGAGAAGAAGAGATAATTTCCTGCAAGACATGTTGGGATATTTTGTGGTGCTTTTCTTCATACTTAAGGGTGTTTGGCCACCATGTACATGCAATTCCCACAGAGTCCAGGTGAGGGCAGATTCCACCTGGAATTTAGGTTAAAGAGGTTTGTTAGCTGTCCTGTGGGTCTTCTGAGACAGCAATGAGTGCTCTTCATGGATGAGCCATCTCTCCAGTCCCTGCAACTGACCTTGTCCTCCCAGCCATGTGTGCTGTCCTAGGTGGACTGGATCACTCCCAACCAAAAGTTTCTTGAAATCTGTTGGGACAGGCATGCTAACTGTCTTAGGCTGCCACACATCCATGCAGGGCTCTCATAGGTTCAAGATCCTGCTCCAGTATCACTCACTGTCAGACTGGAACAGATTTGCTAGATATCTTCTATGTTGACAACACGTATTAAGACTGTCTTATGAAATGCAGAATTAAGAAGACTGTCCTGGGGTGGAGGTGAGATGAGGAATCCCTCTTGATGGTCGAGATAAGCAATGTTGGGAGGACCCTCATTGACTAGGTGGAGTGGATGGAGCCTGCATCAGGGGCCCCATATCTCTGGTGCAGAGTGATTCTGTGCAAGACTAAAAACAGGAGGAGGTAGATGATGCTGCTCTTTTACCACAGCAGATCTCAGATTATATTGAGAAAGTTCTTTCAAATGACTGATTGACTCTTGTGAAGCTCCTCTGGAAGAGATCTGACTCCTGAGACTGACAATGAAGCAGAGAGTTCATGTTTAAATGATGTTATCCCATGGGTCTCCAGACTGGAGCTGTCACATCAAGGGTAAAAAGAATATTGTGTCCTTTGGTCTTCATCAGTGGGGCTGTGCCAGGTCTTGGCCCACAGAAGCTAAGACATCTGGTTTTTCATTCTTCACTTAAGCTAGAATCTCTCCATCTCATATAATTACTTGTTTAATTAGATTACTGTGTGTTCCATTTGAGAAATTTCAGACTTGTGTTATTTTACTTTCTTGCCCAGAAGCTATAGAAACCTAGTAGGCCAGCATCAAAGAATCATCTAAAAAGCAGGTTAAGGGAATGTGACCATGTGGAATTTATAAGTGAGATAAGGCTGTTGTTAGGCCCAAACTACTCTAAAAGTCCTATACCTGTCTGGTGCATTGGTCAGGGTTTAATGGGGTAACAGAATGAATTTCTATAGATACAAAAGCCTATATTTTAGAATGACTTAGATGCTGTGGTCCAGCTAATTGAACATTGGCTGGCTA